CAAAAATCTTGGCCACATTTTTCAGTGGCTTTTGTCTGTTCCAGTTACCAATCCATAAGGGAGCTTACAGGAATACTTTACTATAGGAACACTTGAAAAATCCATCAAATGCCATTCATCAAAATCAAATCCATTATATTAGTAGAATTTGCTTTCCTTTATTTAGCCTTTACTCTGCTACAGGCTTTACTTACATCATACTATGAAAGGACTTAAATCAGTTTGTCAAACAATGGCATTAAGCAGATAGCCAAGTATTTAGGTACACACAGTTGTACATGCACACTCAATAACCACCCCCACAGAGCATTCCCAATCCTGGCTTCCTCTTTTCCCTCACTCTATCTTCTCAGCCCTGATGTAGGTTAGTGAAGCCCAAGGTGGACATGACTAAGAAACGTATTTCCTTCTAGACCCATGGAATGTCTCTCCTTCATTCATTCAACATCATTAGCTGGGGGCCATTTACTTCCACATACGGCCCAGGAAGAAGTCCCACCCACATTATGTTTATGGTCTATAGCTCTGTAAGGCGACGACAGATTTCAGAAACCAAACGTAAGCACAACACCCCGCCTCATTTGTGTGTGTGTGTGTGTGTGTGTGTGTTAATTCTTGTTATTGCCTTGGAGTGGAACAAATACAGGAGCAAAGTATTGTTTAAAAGTGAAGCTGTGTCTACAGAAAGACCCAGGTTCAGGAAGGAGAAGTACGTGATGGGATGTGAGGAATCTAAGTGATCTACGAGAAGAATGTCACATGCAATTAGAGTCCTTGAAATTTTAACTTCTCTAATAACGGATGCCAAGAGAAACCTCTCATGGTTCATTGGCAGTGCAAGGTGTTGTTATAGTCTCCTAATCATATTCCTGGAGAAAATAGCTCTGTTTCATTGTTCATAGAATGGAAACTTCACTTAATTTGTGGATTCACATTCCATTCTAGGACCCATTAGTGGTGATATATTCATAAGCATCTAAGTACACATGTACACAAAATATATAGCATCTCTATTAATTTATATGACATATGTATTGACTTAACATGAGTCCCTTTAGGATATCATGCAATTTTTATGGAGAAGAAATGAAAATACATGATTTGGTTAGTTTCCTTTTTGACTCTGAGACATTTCATTAAACGAGTCTCATCATTAACCCCAGCCTTATCCACATGACTGGCCACGCCACATTTCTGGATTTTATTCAGCCTTTACTCCCCTTGGTTCAACAGTCGTTTGTGGTTCCATGTTGGCTGACGGGATAAAGTCCTAACTCCCGAGGGTTTCATCTAAGGATACCAAAGTCTGGGTTTAACTCACTTCTCCGCTCTTCTGTCATACTTCCCCGCTGAAGTGGTGGGCACATCAGTGCTCTTGGCTTCCAGCTCGCACCATTTTATATATACCCTTAACTCCACATGAAACAACCTCCCAAGCTATTGCCACTTAAGATTCCCCGCTGTTTCACCTGAAATTCTCTTTGCTCTCCTGTCTCTCAACCTGACTGAACTCTTTGAGGAAGTCCTTACTGCTCCACTGGACCCCAGTAAAAATGTCTGCCCCAACTGAGGAGAACTTGAAAGCACTGGAAATCCAAGCTCACCGGAGCCCTCATTGTGGTTTTGACCTTGAGATAGCTCTTCAGGTGTGGTGGACTAGCAAATTCTTTATCCTTAACTGGGGCATGACAACGCCTGCAGCATTTTTGTGGGGGTGACACAAGAAATTCAAAAGATTTTGCTCTGTAGCCAGAACATTATGGGTGCAGACTGCGTCCTTTAATTTTTTTTCCCACAAACAATGGAATACTACCCCATAGCCTAGTACTTTACAAGCAACACATATCCATATTAGACTATTTTCCTCTTATGGAGGCTGATAAAGAAGAAAAGACGACACTATGGAAAGCAGCTATAGGTGTGTGAATGCTGGGAAAATGTTAAACTACGGTACAGCCTAGAGCACAATTACGAGACCATGCTCTGGAGAAATGACAGCAGAATTCAGTGACAAAGCTGGACATTGGCAGGGCAGGAATCGATCCTTTGAGCTTCTTCAAACTCCAGTCAGTAGAAATGTCACCTTGCAGGCAAACCTAGAGAACCGAGGCTTTGAAGGGGCTTCAGAATGTCCTTACCTGCCGTGAGGAAGGGAGCTAGGAGAGAGTGAGAACGCATCGAAACCATACCTGTCTGCTCTGACAGGCTGCCAGGAGCTCTGGTCCCAGTGGACGAGTTGATAATCTAAAGGCAAGCAAGTACTCTGCCATTTTGCTAGCTTAGGGAAAGAGGCCGGAATTTTCCACTGGTGTCAAAGTAGAAATAAAGTCTTTCTCTGCCTGACAGGGATAAAGAGTGACCCACACAGAGCTAAAGACCAAGGCTGAGTTCTGGAGGGGTCGCTGCAGGCAAAAATGAGAAAAAAACAAACAAAAACAAAAAAATCTGTGTGACTTTGACAGTGGCATCTTCCTTCTCTGCTTAGAGGACAATTCTAAGCTGGTCTGAGGTTCAGCCCCTAGGATGTCCGTGATGTGACTTGAGAGACACTAACTAGGGAGTTGTCCAAAGGCATCACACTCACTCTGAGTTCTACCACTGAAAGTCATGCCCTTGAATATGCGAATGAAATTAGCTCAGTGAAATCCTGCTTTGTTTATACCAGGCTCAGGCCATAAAAAATGTTAAGTGCCTTACCAGAATGTATTTACTGTAAACTGAGGTGCTATGGTTTGAATATGAAATGTGCCTAATAGACTCATGTTTGAATCCTTGGTCTCCAGCTGGTGGTGTTACTTCAGGAAGTTCTGTAACTTTAGAAGTTGAAAACAGCTGAAGGTTATGGGCCAATAAGGACATGTCCTTGGGGGTATATTATCCTTGGCCCCTTTGGCTTCCTTCTCTGCCTCCTCTTTGCCAAGAGTTGAGTTGAGCAAAGGGTCATGCTACCATAAGTTCTGAAACCATGACTCAAAATGAATCCTTCCTCTTTGTCAACTATGTCTGTCAGGGGTTTGGTCAAAGAGAGCTAATTCATACGTAAATTATCAAGAAGAATAAAAAAAAAGTCCACCTAGAAGTAAGAGGAGAGATCTACAGAGGTATGAAAATAATGTACTTATGAAATCATCTGGGTCTGTGAAGTGCCACAAGAATGCTAAGATCTCCCTCTTGGCTAAGAAAACCCAACAGAAGATGGTTGCAGGATGCCCTCTGTCAGGGAGGAGAAATGCAGATACCTTCAGAATAGAGGCTCCAAGGAACCGTAACAGAAGAAAGTAGCAGCAACTGCTGTTTGTAGTTAATGTGACCCAGGAATTGTTCTGGGTTTTTGTATTACTTCATCTGTCTCACAATGGCCCATGGAGCACACTGCTGGATAGAATCAACTGGAACCACTGGTCGTCCATTTGTGCCTTTCTAAAGCACAGCAGTTGTGGCTCAGCGACTGCATGGAAAGAGGGCCACCAGCAGTCTGAAGCGTCTCAAATCTGTCCCAGTGCATAACACACCCGGCTGTTGAAGAAATGACCTTGGTAGCTTCTTGTTCCCTGAATTTTCAGGTATTGTGTTTTCTAAAGTCATGCGTGACCTTATGATGGCCTTTTTTTCTGATCTGGAGAGATTGTTGTCTTCCTGAGAATTTATTTCCACTTATTATTTAATGAATTGCTGAGTCAGGTCCACCTCACAGCCCTCCAGGGCTCTGTGGTCCCTTGCTTCCCTTCGCCGGGTCCTTTTCGTCTTAGAACAACTTGATTCATGTACCAAACCTTGACAAGCACAGTCAGATACTAATACCTACTTTATAGGTAAAGCAACCGAGGCTGGCTTGCACCTGAAATCCCAGTCCTGGGGAGACTGAGGCAGGAGGATTGGCATGAGTTCCAGGCACATGCTACAGGATCAGCTGGGCTGCAGTATACACATCTATCTCACAACAACAATAGCACAAACAAATAACTTAAAATCTGTACAAAGACACACACTTCATGGAGTAGAAGACATCTTAAGCTCTTCCATCTTAAATTTGGAAGTCATACAGAAAGGATCGGGGAAAGAGAAAGACCCCACCCCTATCCCACCTCCAGGCTCAATATATGACTTGGCATGAGTCAAATACAACCTGAAGCCTGGGGAAGCCTATCCATTTCATTTCCTCTGCTGGCCTCCAGCATGAGCCGTGTCTTACGCCCTCAGCGTGGGACTCATGGTTACTGTGCTTATGTTAACTGCTTCAGGGGGACATGGAGCTTGACCCTGACTGGAGGAGTCATTAAGTTTGATGGCTCCTCTGGGAAAACTCCACGCACTGCTGTTCATGACACTTCCAGAGCTTCGGACAGGCAGCTGGATGGAACACACCCTCAGGGCTCCACAGTGGAGAGACATGCCTGATTGCCCGTTAAATTGGAACACGCACTAAGACATCCGGAACAAGGGAAAGAAAAATGTCAGCAGTGTCACTGGGGCTGAGTGGTAGGAGCAGGGCTGGCGGGAAGGGGCTGGCTTCTGTCGCTGGCTATTGTGTGTCTGTGGACACTTCTGGACTTTGGTTTTCTTTTTGAACGCAGAGATGGGTTCTTGTGACTATGAAGTGCCCTTTAGCTCCAAGTGGGTGTTGTGAAATGTGAAATAGTTACTCAGTTTTGGAAGTGCCACCAAATGCGATAGGGGCCACACATTTGTCAGTGCAAAGCTAAAACGCATGTGCTGTCCAGGAGTAAGCCTGGTGAGGGACTGCAGCAGGTAAGGAGAGTACTGGGGTCATTTCCAAAGCATCCTACTCTGAACAAAGCTTGCGGTTTCCTTTAGGAAATGTGAAAGCATTTTAGGGGCAAGTACATTCCTGGGCACGCTTAGTTAGGGACTGTGACCCTAAAACATGCTCAGTTTAAGGTCACACTCAAGAGGGAAAATAGTGGGTCTCCTGCTGCAGCAAGGTGAGTGGGAGCCCCTGGAGCATGAGCTCCCAACAAGACTCTACCCGCTGTAAGAAAATGGCAGACAAGCTGGGCATAAGGGAAATCGACAACTTCAGTAAGGCCAAGCTGAAGAAATCGGAGACGCAGGAGAATACCTTGCCAACCAGAGAGACCACTGAACAGGAAAGGAGGAGTGAAATTTCCTAAAACCTAGACTGGAGGATTTCTCCACCCCACCTTCCCTTGCCATCTCTGAGACATGCCCCCCACGTGTGTGTGTGTGTGTGTGTGTGTGTGTGTGTGTGTGTGTGTGTGTGTGTGTATGTGTGTGTAGGAATAGTTACCTGCAGGAGAGAGGCGAGTCTCAACAGGAAAGAGGCGAGTCTCAAGCGCAGTGTGAACTCTAGCGCTTTGCTCTGATGCCACCAGCAAGCAGGTCACTGAAGGGGGAAACCAACCCCTCCCACCCTGCCCGAGCACCAAACTGCCAAATTTCAACAGCTTGCCCTGGGATAGTATAGAAAATTATTAGTTTGACTGATGAAAACAAAACACACCTCTTATTTTTTTCAATGCCAAAATTAAATGGGAAAATATTGGGCACATTCTGGGCCATGGTTAGCTCAAGGTTGTGGAGTACATGTTCAAAAGGTTAACGCGGCAGCACTTGGTAGGCAGAGGCAGTTGGATCTCTGTGAGTTCAAGGCCAGCCTGGTCTACAGAGCAAGTTCCAGGACAGCCTTCAAAACAATACAGAGAAACCCTATCTCAAAAAAAAAAAAAAAAAGGTTAACGTGGAAGCCAGGAACACTTTTAGGCATGCTCAGTTTGCACACGGAGATGGCGTTCAGAAACCCTCTGGCCATGCTCAGTTTTCCCCAGTCAGTTTTAGTTAAACCGAGAGGACATTTGGAAGGTGTGTTAACATAGGAGTTTGCTTCTGAAGGTGCTTGGCCTCTCTTGCTCACAGAAGCCTTTGAACGGCGACTCTTGAATTTTGCAGAGTTGTGAGCTCGTGGGTGGCGTTTCCTAGTAAACCACAGTGTAGTGGGAAGACTTGACGGTGGTAGTGCAGGGAGAGGGTGGCCAGGCTTGGATTAGGACTCAGCTAATCCAAGGGATGCTCACCAGGCACTAGTGCCTCCTGAAGCCAGCATGGTCTCCCCACCGCCTCTTGGCTGGATTTCCATCCATCCTGCAAAGATCAACCCCAAGAAACTGGCAGAGGACTTAACTTCTCGGTGATCTTGGGGCCACAGGGAAGCAAACAGGGAAAGGAGGAGAGAGAAGGCAAGAGAGTAAGGGTAGAAGAGGAAGAGGAGCTAAGTAGAAGGAGAGGAGAAAAGACGGTGGTGGCTTTTAGCATTTAACACATATTTGGAGAAAAATGGTACATCTGAATCCATTCCTTTTTCTTTTAGGATACTGGGTCAGTGGGAGAGAGTCTCCAGCCCTGCAGTCTGAGGGCCGTCATTATTAAGGCAAGGTCATCTGGAGTCCTACAGGTCACTCTACAGCTCCTGTATTCTGGCCATTTGCTTGACTCTCCCTTGACTCTCCCCTCGTCCATACTCACCCCCATTCATTCTCTCTCAGGGCCTTCCTCCAGCTCAGCTTCTCTCAGATAGGAGGCCCACAATGTCTTGGTCACTTAGTTCATCACTGACAGTGCTTGTTTTGATGCACTTTATCATCAACAGTGGGGGAAGGTAGAGCTAAATATGGTTGACAAGAAGTGACAGGCTCAGGCAATACCTACTCAATCTTTCTTCATTTAGACGTTTGATGTTTACCTTCACATATCTAAAGAGCAACCTTACATTGCTGTTTCTTGATTTACGATGTTATTAATTTTGTTTCAGATCTAATCTATTGAATCTCATTTTTGCAAGATAAGGCCTGTATCACCACCACCCCATTAACCCTAGGCATCTTTAGCATACACAAATATCCTGTCCCATACGCTTCCAGAATTACAGTTTGGATAGATTGCTATTCAGGGTTTATATCATTATTACCATAGAATACTATTTTTGATTTAGGCTGTGTGTCACCATGATTAATTTTCTTTTGTAGCACTTTTTATTTCCCCTGGAAATAATAAGAACTTGACATTTTGTTTGCTTAATCGTCTCTATTATTATCATTAATTTGATCCAAATTCTCCATTTCTTGTCTCAATCTCCTCCTAAGATATTCAAACTCCCTGGGCATTCCATCTGTTTCTTCTCTTTGGAGGATGCTTTCATGGAGTTTTCTTAGGTTGGACCTACACTTAGTGTACAGGGGCCACTATGGACTCTTCCTTTCCCGTCCCCGAGGGTCCCTTTTGACTTTTTCGTTTTATGTTCCAGAGTCAATGTCTTCACTTTGTTGATCTATTCTTTGGCTTCAGTCAATCCTTGTACCCTCTGATGCCTTCCTGACGAGGGGTACAGTTAAGACTGGACTCTCAAGGCTGAAATATTTGTATATGTTTTTATTCTGTCCTCATACTATATTGAGAGTATATAGATTGAAGTTGGGTACAATTGCATTGAAGATCATTCTTTGTTTCATGGCTTGTTTTGGGATATGTGAACAGTGTTGTTTTTCCTACTGGAAGTTTATATGATAGTGCCTTATCACATTCTTATGAATTATTTTGAATATAACACTTGGTTTGGGGTTTTTTTTTCCTCGTTGAGCTGGGCCATGGGGTCCTTTCAGTTAAAAATTCAGCTCTTGGGAATTTTCTTTTCTTTTTTCATGGTTCACATATTTTTATTTATTTATTTATTTATTATTTTAAGTATGTTTTTTATTTACATTAGAAACATGCATGCTTCAAATGTCAATCCCAGCTCCCCCTTCTCCCTCCACCATCCCCACCCCCCCACCCTCAGACTAATCCCCACATCATTTCCAGGGAGGGTGAGGCCCTCCTTGAGGGGATCTCCAGAGTCTGTCATTTCATCCAGGGCAGGACCTAGGCCCTTCCCCATGTGTCCAGGCTGAGAGGGCATCCCTCCATGTGGAATGGGCTCCCAAAGTTCATTTGTATGCCATGGTGAACACTAGTCTACTACCCAAGACCCCAGAGATTTCTGAGGCCTCCTCACTGACACTACATTTATAGAGTCTGGATCAGTTCCCTGTTGGCCTTTTAGTCATCAATCTAGGGTTCAAGAGCTCCCTCTTGTCCAGTCAGCTGTCTCTGTGGGTTTCACCAGCACGTTCTTGACTATCTTCCTCATCACTCCTCCATCTCTGTCACTGGGTTCCAGGGGGGTCAGTTCAGTGTTCAGTTGTATCTGTCTCTGCTTCCATCAGTCACAGAATGAAGGTTCTAGGATGTCACATAAGGTAGTCACCAACCTTATCATCAGGTAGGGGCATTTAATGTAGTCTCTCCGCTATTGCTTAGTTTTCCAGTTGGTGTTATCCTTGTACATCTCTGGAAATCTCACTAGTGTCAGCTCTCTCCTCAGAGCTATAATGACTACAACTATTATGGTATCTCTCATCCTGCTTTCCTCTATTCTTACCCCGACTCAACCTTCCTGCTCCCCCATGTCTTCTTCTACCCTTCGCTTGTCTCCCTCTCTTTTTCCTGGTTCCCTCTCCCCTCCCCCCATGTTCCCAATCTGCTCAGGAGATCTTGGCTCTTTCCACTTCTCTGGGGTATAATGCATATCTCTTGGGAACCTCCCTGTTTCCCAGACTCACTGGCCCTGGGATTGTAGACTGAGACTCCCCTGATCCATATCTAAAATCCATATATGAGAGAGTACATACTATGTTTGTCTTTTTGTGTCTGGGTTACCTCACTCAGGATGGTTTCCTCTAGTGCCATCCATTTGCCTGCAGATTCCAGGATTCCATTGTTTTTTCCCTGCTGAGTAGTACTCCATTGTGTAAATGTACCACATTTTCTCTATCCACTCTTCAGTTGTGGGGCATCTAGGTTGCTTCCAGGATCTAGCTATTACAAATAATGCTGCTATGAACATAGTGGAACAGACATCCTTGTTGTATGAATGGGCATCTTTTGGGAATATGCCTAACAGTGGACTTGCTGGGTCGTGTGGTAGAGTGATTCCCATTTTCCTGAGGAATCTCCATACTGATTTCCAAAGTGGCTGTACAAGTTTGCACTCCCACCAACAATGGACAAGTGTTCCCCTTTCTCCACATCCTCTCCAGCATAAGCTGTCATTGGTGTTTTTGTTTTTAAACATACTGACAGGAGTACGATGATATCTCAGGGGTGTTTTAATTTGCATTTCCCTAATGGCTAAGGATGTTGAGCACTTTCTCAAGTGTCTCTCAGCCATTTTAGTGTCTTCTATTGAGAAATCTCTATTTAGTTCAGTCCCCCACTTTTTAATTGGGTCCTTTGGTATTTTGGAGAATAACTTCTTGATTTCTTTGTAACTTTTGGAGATCAGCCCTCTGTCACATGTAGGGTTAGTGAGTATCTTTTCCCAATCTGTGGGGTACCTTTTTGTCTTGCTGACTGTGTCCTTTGCCTTACAAAAGCTACTCAGTTTCAGGAGATCCCATTTATTGATTGTCGATCTAAGTGTTTGTGCTACTGGTGTTATGTTCAGGAAGCGGTCTCCTGTACCATTTCGTTCAAGGGTACCTCCCACTTTCTCTTCTATAATAGAGCTTGAAGTCAGGAATTATGTTGAGGTCTGGATTTATGTTGATGTCTTTGATCCATTTGAATTTAAGTTTTGTGCATGGTGATAGATATAGATCTATCTGCAGTCTTCTACATGTTAATATCCAGTTATGTCAACACCATTTGTTGAAGATGCTATCTTTTTTCCATTGTATAATTTTAGCTTCTTTGTCGAAAATCAGCTGTTCAGAGGTTGTGGATTAATCTCAGAGTGTTCAATTGGATTCCACTGGTCTACCTGTCTATTTTTGTGCCAATACCAAGCTGTTTTCAGGACTACAGCTCTATAATAGAGCTTGAAGTCAGGAATTGTGATGCCATCAGATGTTGCTTTGTTGAGCAAAGTTGTCTTGGCTATCCTGGGTCTTTTGTTTTGCCATATAAAGTTGAGAATTGTTCTTTCAAGGTCTGTGAAGAATTGTGCTGGGATTTTGATGGGGATTGCATTGAGTCTGTAGATTGCTTTTGGAAGGATTGCCATTTTTACTACATTGATCATACCTATCCAAGAGCATGGGAGATCTTTCCATTTTCTGGT